TGTCGAGGACGAGGAGCAGGCCAGTGTCGAGGACGAGCAGCAGGTCGAACTCGGGCCGAGGGCGAGAGAGGTGGCGGAGGAAAAGGACATGCAGGCCGAATGCTCCCGGCGTTTGACCTTGACGAAAAGTTTAAAGTAGAGGCTCACCGCGGATCTTCATCTTTAACGGACTCGAGTCTTGTGCAAGACCCATGCCGACATTGCAAGACTTCTTTCTTTTTTTTTTTCAACGCGTGAAAGGACGGAAATAATACCCATGAATACTGGATCATTCGACCGGAAAAAAATGGGCGCAAAAATAAAAAAAGGTCCAAATTGTTCATTTCAAAATCATACGTTACGATAAACTGGCAAATAAATGTTGCTGATTGAATTTCCTAAAGCTGACTTTGTTCGAAATCCCTGGCGTGAAATTAAATAACAGTATGCTCTGTACACAGGAAATAAATATAAATAATGAATTTTATAAAAGTCTCCCCTATTAGGGTAATAACCACCGTTTTCGTTCGTACTGTATCGGTCCGTTCTCTGTTAGCTGAACACGCAGGGCAAACTAATGAAAACCTGCCACGCATTTCCCCTTCACCTTTTTACGTCGCGTAAAGCACTCGAAGTATATAAATAGGGCATAGACAAGTAACTTATGGGGTTGTATAGATATGGCACAGAGAGGTCACTTATTGGCATTGTATAAATATGGCATAGAGAGGTCACTTGTAGGGATCGTATAAATATGGCACAGAGGTGTCACTTACCGGGATTGTATAAATATGACATTGAGAAGTCACTTATAGGGATTGCATGCTAAGTAACAATACTACAGAAGAGAGTCTATATATTTTCTATCTGACAAAGAAAGATGCATAATCGTGTCATTTGTAATTGTAATATATAATCATAATAATAGGCATGAACCAAAGGCGATTTCTCCTATACGTGTGTGTTTTTCTTTCGGTCGGTCTTTCTCCATCCCCCCCCCCATTTTCTCTCTTTCTTTCTTTCTCTCTCGCCCCCCCCCCTCTCTCTCTCTCTTTCCCTCTTTTCTCTCTCTCTCTTTCCCCCTTCTCTCTCTCTCTCTTTCCCCCTTCTCTCTCTCTCTCTTTCCC